AATCGAAACATAGCCATTAACGCATTAACCTCCAGGTCCAGAGGGGACGAACAGAAAAACTTCTGTTTCATGTTCTACAGAACATTTACGGAAAAGAAATTTCCCATATAATAAATAGAGCAGAACGAAATCAGTTATAATCAATTTATTGTGGGGTAGAGAATAATGTTTTTAATTCTGTTTCTATAAAGTACTATGTCAATGTTTGTATTCAACTTAACAAAAGGCCATGAAATACAATATTTGAAATGAATTATAATTGAAATTAACAATTCCAAAAGCTCTGGCATTCCGATTTTCAGGATGGTATCGTTATTATATAATTAATTTTCACCAAACCACATGTTTTAGTGCGTTCATAATTAAATTACGATATTTTCACAACATACCTATTCAAAAAACCTATTTGCAAATAATTTCAGACTGCTATGATATAACTCATACAAACCACTGCAGAGCATTATATTTTAATTGAAATATCACATTGAGTCCCTGTTTACGCTGGAGAAAAATTGTTGAAACAAAAGATCAGTTCAATTCATTTTTTTCATACAGGAAACGATAATAATAATGCATGTCACTTCCAATCGATTTGACAAACTTCTTCAACAAATGGTACTATGGACATTCGCATGCCGTTGATAAACGCGGACTGCGATTCCAAGAATTGCATTTATCAGATACCCTATGAGGCCGTTGAAAATCCGCATTGCGAGTACAAGAAACACACACAGCGAGGAGAAACCAGCAAATCGGGAATAGCAGAGCATGTTTAGACTCATCAACATAACATCAAGCGGTCCCAAAGTGACATCATCCACAGGGTGGAACACCGGCTCGAGAGGAAGTTCAAAGAAGCTGCATATATGTTATCCAATGACACATTCAGCCAAGCAACATACGGAAATCCATAATAAGGCGGAAAACGGTCACCTCCCGCCAAACGTTATCTCTCGTGGTGAAGCGGATAGAGGGAAGAGTGGATAGGCGAAAGCACTCGAATGACATATAAACAGTTATCTCCTGGAGGAATAGTTCATCATCACCAGTCCATATCAGACTCTTCTTTTCTGAAATTTCTATTTGTCATTGGCTTTGTAAAGAAAATTAACATTGCCAGTTCGTCCCATAGTTTTCAAGCTTAATGAACCGCATAATAAAGTAAAATCATTTATTGGTCTTCACTTTCTCAACAGTGTTAGTTGAAGTGGTATTTGGAATTAACCCTGTTGCCCAAAACCTTTCGTATGTATCCATGGTTGAGAGGGACATAACTAGTAAACTCTAAAACGTACGACAAGTTTGTTCTTTACATTGATGAAAGTAATATACTTCCCAAGAAGTTTGTAAATTATTTAAAGTTTCCTTCATATTTCACTTCCACATAATACAAGTAAAGTAGCTAAATAAAGTTGCCAAACTCCACTCGAAAGCTTTCAAAGCAGTTTGAAAGTAGCAGGTGTCTTTCATTCATAAAATATTTTCAATATTGACTTGTTAATGTGTTGAACAGAGTGTGTTTGACTCAATTTCGATTTGTGGTTTTGTACATTCCTGAAACTTGAATATTATTTGTGATATAGATAAAAGTCTGAAGTGACAAACCAAGTTTTCAGGATTAGACAGCTGGAAAATAAATAAGGAATATATGGTTAACTTTGGTCAATTGTTATCGAAAATGTAAACAAAATTCGCATGCATAGATTACAGTGGATTTTTGGAGCCCATTATCTAGTACCTAGTCATACTTTCACTTGCTTCAATCTTGTTTACATGTTACCTAATTTGATGGTTGATCTGTAGGTAACTACTCTACTTTTTTGTGGCTTTGAAAATTTTAACAATGTTTTGAAACCATTATCAAAGAAACAATAAATTAAGGACAATTTTTTTCATAATTAAACTAGATTAATTAAACATTACAACCGATTCATTGTCAAAACTGAATTGTTTTACTTTGAGGTTGTTACACTCCATTTTTCCATTATCATTTTATATTGTTTGTGGAACAATCTGAACACAAACAAATCTTTTTTGCCAATTTTGAATTGTACCAACTATTCAAAATTTCTGTTTTCTATTTTCACAGATCTGGAATACTTCAACAAGTTCAAAAACATGAAAAATAGAGATAAAGGTCCTAAAAATATGAGCGATAGCTCATTCGATCCGGAATCACCTCTAGAAAAATGTTTTTGAAGGATTTTGGTGCAGGTGAAAAATTGCAATTGTTATTAACAAAATAAGATTAAAAAAAATAGTACTTCATTCACCACTCGCCTTATATTGTCAAGCACTACAGCATTCAAACTCGGTAACTGATTACATTTACGCAAGCTTTCTTTCATTGTGGCCCAAACCATTTCAATTGGATTGAACACACAATATGACAATTTAATTTGTCCGCTTTTTAATCTATTGTTGAAAAATCAATTTGCAGGTAGTGGTTCCACTAGTTAATTACCGAAAAATCAATTAGGATAATCATCATTTAACAAACAAAGTCCACATCTGACCAAAAAACATTAGCTAAATAAACATCTAACCCTTGTCTTTAGATTCAGTATCAATTTGCTTCTCCTGAAGATGCTAACCTTGTTAGCGAAACGCGCGTCGAGTGCAAAAATATCAGTTTGGTGTTAGTGTAATTGATCTCTAGAAAAAGTTTTCAAAAATCGGTTTGCAAAACCACTCACTACCTCACCTAACCCCACGAACACACGGTACTGATAAGGAAATATTGTGAAACGGACAAAAAATTAGTATTCAACCAGTCCAGCTAGCCGAGCCTTTATTCCTCAACTAGATTTGATAGCACGTTTACTAATTATCTGGAGGGGCCACAGGCAAGAAATGTTTATGACTGTACTCTTATTTTTATTGCCGTTCCAATTGGGAATGGATAGACTATAGCTAATTTTGGTTCTTAAATGTGTTTCATGAAAATCATTTCAGCTGTTTAAAGGTAACTAGCCCGTTTTTAAGATTATGAAGAGGAAGTATGCATTCAATAATGTTTAACAATACATCCACTTGACTGATCGAAACAAAAATTTGATATCATTGAGAGTATGTGCAATTACATTTCAACTTTGACTTGATGCTGCTACCCGAACAATCTGCAAAGGACCAACTCCTCGGCAACTTACAACAGACGTGTTTGGGGTCTTAATAAGTAAATATCCGCAGTGTCAGTTACTTTGACCCGAATTTTGATACAGCGGTCTTGGCATTATTTTTTATTACTTTTGAGTCGTTTTTTTAATTTTGTTGTTTAATGTTCCAGAAAAGTACATGTGTGAAAATTTTGGAAAGTGCTTCTTAATGAATAAAAAATTCCAAGTGTTTTTTCCATTTTATAAACCCTTCTTCGTGCCTTGCGAAATATACCTTACCCACAATAAATTTAGGTCTTGTGCCGCCACTGCTATTCACCTCAAACGGCGTTGCTAGCTGTCAAAGTTGTTGATGGTCGCTAAAGCGAATCTATATTTTGTAATAGAATTCAGGAACCAGTATTTTTCAAAACAAATGTGTGATGCCAAAATCAAATTTTGTATAACGCCATTATTGAAAATAATTTCCATATGATGCGGTCTTTACTTGTCAAACTATAAGATTCGTAAATGATTCTTCACATGGTTTTTCATAGTCAGAAGAACATTCAAAAGCTCATTGAAGAAACACTCCTGAATAAATTCTCTTTTCTGTAGAATATTGCACCGTATAATGTTTTGTTTTTAATTCGGAAATAAATAAAAGTTCAATCAAATTATACAGCTTAGCCTCTCGAGATAGGACGAATAAATTCTCGGAATCGATATCCAGCTAGAGTCGACTTTTTTCTTGATTACATACACCACCTGGATTTCTAGCACATCTACGCGACGAAACTAAATTATAGTCTGCATCTCCTTCTTTCCAATTCGTCTTCATTTCCTGAGACGTTAAGCTTTTTATTGAGCAAATAAAAATAAAGGTGGACCTGAGACCGGACCTCTTTTCTATAATTTCCAAATCTGTCTCTTATTTCATCCTTAACGGCATTGTTTACGGTTTCATACAGTTCTTTTGTTCTCTTCTTTTGTTTGCGTCCGGATACAATTTATTATATCCTCGAGTCCGCGGATTAAGATATTTTCACGGCACTTTCATAGGCTTTCGGATTTATTAAGAGTTACTCACCTTTATTCAGTTAAGGGTTTTTTTGGAATCCTCCGAAAATATTCATAAATTTGGCTCAAATGCTTCCAATGAGGACTCAGAGGACTTTAGTAACAGTTTTATAAGTAATCATTTTAATGTTACGTATCAGTGGAAGTGAACAGAAAGAATTGAGAAATGAGAATAGAAAAAGCAAGCGATTTTCAAAAAATAAGCAACATTGAATCATCACATTATCATTGAATTATAACAATCTGAAAATGTTTTCCATGTTTTAAGAATGTTGCCAATGTTTAAAATGGAAACTATTTCGCCACGTTATTTGAGCTGACATTCAGTTATATCCTCCTATTCTTATAGTTTGCTTTTTGAATAGCTCGCTTGATTAACTTCAATTTGCATGTTTGTTTTCATGAACTTTAAAATTCCCTTACCATGGACTTTATGTCCTCTGTGGGCAGTAGCTTGAATAATTTCAACACAATTTGTAACGTTTACAGACTTAATTATAAGTTATTCTATCACATCCTAGATGTCGCTTTGGTGTACTGTAAAAATGTTATTTTAAAACAAGAATATTTGAATAATAGTAGACAGTTCTGAATTAATCTTAAAATATTTCACAAATGGAAATTCACTTCAAAATCTTACAATGAATGAACTTCTGAAGATGTGTGAATAACATGGGGTTCAAGATTTTTCTACTAATTTTTAGTTCAATGAAAAAATTAATGCAAGGCTGCCATCTGTTATTGGTTAGTTCAACTGATAGAATGAAAAATGAAATTTTTGGTTAGAAAGTTATCTGAATTTAATTGTTCCAATGTTTAAAGTCCATCTGATCAGCTGATGTTTGACACATGGTCGACAACATAACCTTTGAATTGTGATCTTTTAGGCCTCTTTTTTGAAAATGTTATCTAGTAAACTGTCTTGTCAAAATAAATCGTTTCACAAAATCTTATCAGAAACCAAAACAGGTTTGTTAGTAACTACGTATAGAAATTACGTACCAAAGGAAAGTGTTGCATTTGGAAATATTGTGAAAGAAGTAACCAAAGCTAAGAATCCCCAGTATGTGCCTCTAAAGTACTGTAAGTACACACTCTCAGCACCTTATATGATGTCAATAATCGCACGCTCCCTTATAGTTACACTTTGGTGGTTCTTTTCATGTCTCAGATATCTTTTCTCATTTCAGTTCGTGAAGATCTCCCTCAAAGTAGTCTCCATCACTTAAGATGGATGATGCAAAAAGACCTCCTAGGCCAAGATATATTTCTACTAGGTCCTCCAGGTCCGAGAAAAAGACATTTGGCCATGCAGTATTTGGAACTGACTAACCAAGAGCATGAATATGTTGCTCTTAGTAGAGATACTACAGAGTCCGATTTGAAGCAGAGGAGAGAAATAGTTCAGGGGACTGCTAAATATTTCGATCAGGTTTGATTTGTGTATTTACAGGATTTGAATATAGTTTTTGACAAGTTTAGTAGATAGAAAATCCTGTTGGCTTTTACTGAGTACTATGTTCAATAAAATATTGTCTCAATAAACATTTACCGGAGTTTTATCCCAACACCAAACCGGTATTTTCACTACTCGACATTTGTTTCATTCACCTTATATTTCATGTTTTACTTGATTTTCCATCAGAACTCAGTGTAAATTAAAGCTGAAAATACTTATTTCATTATGCTGACTTCCTGTAATCTGAATATTTACGATTTCTCACTTTCCAGAGTGCTGTAAGAGCAGCTAAAGAAGGTCGAGTTTTGATTCTTGAAGGAATAGAAAAAGCAGAACGAAATGTGTTACCAGTACTGAATAACCTTCTTGAAAATAGAGAAATGCACCTGGAAGATGGAAGGTTGTTGATCCCTGCAGCAAGATACGACAAGTTATTGAAAGTGAGTGATTGTTACTCTAGTTTTTTTGTCAGTTGTTTGTGATAATATAAATTTTTCAGGCGCATGGTGAGGAAGAACTGAAAAAATGGAAGCTAGTCAGAGTTGACGATAATTTTAGAGTTATTGCTCTGGGTTTACCTGTGCCAAAGTTAGTATTTGTCTAATAACCCAACATTCAACCCAAATCTCATTTTTTTTATATGTCTACTGTTATCATTCTCAGTCTTCCTGACACACTCATGACAAAAACAACAGTAATCAAATTTATTATCGACAAATTTCATATTCAGCATTTTATGTTTGGATAAATCTTAATTTGTGTATGCTGTTCTGAATGAAACAATAAAAAAGGCATCAAAATTTCCTTCCAGAAGAACATTCCATGTCGATTCTTCGGCAAAATAAATTGGCATTTGAAACAATACGTAATACTGACGAATTTACTCATTGATCTCTTTGAAAAATATTTCAGCATACTATCCGTTGAAGTACGATTCACTAACCAAGTTAGCAGAAAAATTTTTGTCCATCTCCTAAATTCTTTTCATGCCAGGGGTTCTATTTCTACTGATCAAGTAGACAATGGTTGACTATGAATACACATTGGTCATCTCTGTAAACATACTTGCCTCATATAGTATCACGAAACCCCATATTCTGATCTTACCTCAAATTCACTTCTCCAACCTCGAATTTCAGTTCGTGAACTTGTTAATAGTAACACAGATATTCTACTAGATTCATTTCGAAAACTTAAATTTAAGGAGAATCTTCGTAAATCTTCTATTTTTCGATAAGACTTTCCTTCCGTAAGAACCAAGATACTCTAACGGCCTCGATCGTATTTTCAAAATTTTGAACGTGAAAGTCGCCTTCAGAACTTCCTGCTGACTTCGAAAAAGGTTAGGTTACCCTAAAGACAAGATGTCGGTAACTAAAAATTCTTCGATATATGAAATGAGCTGTGAGGACTATAGCGAGAAGTACGTTGGACATACTGAGCGAAACATTGAAACTCGTTTCAAAGAACATGCAGCACATATTCGATTTCGAAGACCAGAAAAGTCTAGTGTCGCTCAACAAGCCTTTGTAAAACGCGCGTTTATTGAAGTCCTGGTGATTGGGAAAGGTTCCTGTTTTTTAAATTCATTTTACCCCAGGTGATTTCAATTATACGTTCCATCAATAGTACAAATGGTTGAATTGGATCAAAAGAAGGCATACAATCAACTCTATCGTTGAAAAAATTACTAGTTTTTGAAAAACATTTATTGAAAAACGAAACAATCAAATTATCCTTTGGTTTGAATTTTTCTGAATAGAACAATTACTCAACTTACTACTCAAAACGCTACTATCACAATCGCTGAACTTTTTCGGCAAGTCAGGCATGAAAATATGCAACTGTCTCTTAACCCCGAACTTTTTTCGAAAACAGTCCCCGTTCTCGATGGGTTTTGAAACGTAATTCTCCTCGACTGTCGAAGACACCAACATCTCTGAAACGGGTTTGTCTTCAGAAATGAGTGTCTCGTCCTCATCGAAAACTCTGTTATTTTTATTCAAGACGGAGCTGTTGGTAAATTGCAAGCTTTGGGATACTCCTTCCACTTGAAAGACCCGTTTTGGTTTTTCCTCAAAGGCGATAGGCTGACAAGAGGACAAGCACCTGTGTCTAGAGAAGTTGTTCTGTTTCTTCTTGGCAGCAGATTCTGCCGTCACAACTCGAAGAGGTTGAGTTTTCTGATCGAAATTATTGCTAGTCTGAGTGGCTAAGTCCAACCAAACCATCACCCGTTCACTCAAGGAATCGCTGGAAGATTCCAGAAAGGTATTGTAGGTTATGTAGTTAGCTATGTTGTCTTCAGGTCCAGCCGTTGGACATTGTCTAGATGTTGTATAACATGGCGTCCCGGAATCACCAATGTCGATGCTGTTTGATTTTATCGAAAGACCGAAGGTGTTGGTTTTGTCTTCCAAGGGAACGCTGAAGGAAACTTGCTTGTTCAAGCGTTTGGACGATGATTTGTGGTGGCATTTCACGCTAGTCTTGCACCTCCTCCAAGTATCGCTTCCATCGCTGAGGGAGGGTTTCAATAGTTTCATGGAGGACACGTTCAGATTGGAGGAGTAAGAGCCGGTGGCTGATTTGACAATTCTAGCGCTGTTCGGAGATTTTTCCCACTTCTTTGGCGGTTGGGAAGTTTCTTCGCGTAACACCACGTGGTGCTGTCCGTCCTTCCAGATCGTTTTGACGTACAGAGGGCGCTTGCTCGATTCCCAATGGGCCACCATCATGAGTCGAATTGTAGCTGTGAACAAAAAACATTCATCGTATAAACTGATTCATGAACGTTATTTTGAGGACTAATATACAGATTTTTTGAGTTTGTTTCAACATGGCAGTTCCTGTGGGTTATAAATAATGGTATCATAGTTGATTAGTACTGCCCATGAAGCACGAAGGTGCCTTGAAGATATACTATGATTCTGGGATTATTCTGCAACGTTTCATAGTTGACAGACTGATAATTGTCATGATGCCCCATAGATGACTCTAGGAGTTACTAACATTGCCTACGCAGAACACGAGGCTAATTACGAAGCACTCAATACCGTAGACACCCAGTAAAAAAACTATTTGGGTAGAATAAAATAATTGAAACCGAGGGAGAAGGTCGTAAACCACCTTATCCTCAAATATTTGGAAGGCTTCAACATCTTGAGTGATCATCAATATGGCTTTCGGACAAAGATCAACAGGCGACCTTCTATCGTATGTCACCCACGTATGTCACGCAATCGAGAAACATGGAGAATCAAGAGCTGATGCGCTTGATGTTTCTAAGGTTTTTGACAGCGTGTGGTATGAGGGTTTGCTGGCCAAACTTCGATGCTATGTCTTGTCGAATCATTTTTGCGTATGGCTCTTCAGCTTCCTAGAATAATGTTTCCTACAAGTGGTCGTCGATGGATATCTCTCGAATACTTTCACCATCAAAGCTGGTGTTCCCATTGCCTCCAACCCTCTTTTTATTGTATATCGCCGATTTATTGGAAAAAAACCAAGAATCATATATTGATTTGCTGACGGCAGCACACTTGTCTCGTAATTCCATTTGGATTCCAGGACATCGGTTACGAAGGCACATCCTCACCGGCAGCAGGAGGTTGCATATCTCAATGAGGATTCAGAAGTGATTTTGAATTGGGGTGAAAGTAACCAGATCCAATGCAATGCCACAAAAACCTAGGCATCGGTTTTCTACAAGAAGATAAATGTCTCCAAACCGGTTATAATAATGTCGGGTCAGAAAATTCCTCTATTGCTTCGATAAGTTTGTTGGGAGTTTTTTTTGGTTCCTTGGGAGCTGTCTGACTTGTCCATTTATTCCAAGTCTCCAGAAAACACTGCAGCCTCTTGGGCTTATTGCGTTCATTCTCCATCTTCTCATGGCACCCATTCCATCAATCTCGTTCCCTGTACTACTTTGTACAGGTTCCGTGTTGGATGTTCGTCATATTCTTCTGGACTCAATATGTACTCCTCCACATGTTTCGAAATTTCTGTTCGGTCCGATCTTTTGTAGTTCGGTGAGTTTTCCAGTCTGAATTGGCCCATTCTGGCCTCCCCCATTATCCTAAAGTGTAAAGGACGTAGGTTCAGGAGTGTCTCCAATGCAGCTGTTGGGGTAGTTCTCATTGCTCCCGTCATTCCCAAACATGCAAGTCTTTGCATCTTGCCTAATTTGTTGATAGCGGTTACCTCCTTCATCTTTGGCCACCAGACCAGAGATGCGTATGTTATCATGGGTTCAACTACCATCATGTATATCCAATATACCATGTCTGGTTTTAGCCCCCATGTGCTACGAGCATCAGTGCTACCTCCGCTTTCCTTTTTATCCTGTCCAAGTGTTGGTTCCAGGTCAGTTTGGATTCTAGAATTACTCCCAGGTATTTAACCTCCCCTGACACTTGTATTTCATCACCTCGAAGTTTTAGAGGTCCAAGATCCTCCGTTTTAGTCCACTTGGTGAATGCTACTATGGCTCAAGGCCTTCGCCAAGTCCTGTCCGATGTTCCCAGGTTTCGGAATGAAGGTGGTTCTGATCAGTCTCCAAAGTTTTGGTATGTGTCCCAGTGCTAAATTTGCCCCGGCGACTTATAGGGTTGAAATGAGTTTACAGCCCATTTGATTTTCTCCAGATCTATTACCTTCTTTGTCATTTGCCAGTCCTTCCTGGATACCCTTTTGGGGGTCTCCAATTCTGAATTCGCCCAGGACTCCGGTGTTAGATTTGTAATTTCTGACCCGGGAAAGTGTACCTGGAAAAGCTCTCCAATAGTCTCTTATCCGGTTTTTGTATACTCCCCCGTATTTGTTTTCAGATTATTTATTGAGACCTGAGGTTCCTTCAAGAATATTTTGTAGAACCTGGCACATGCTTGGGTCTGTTCGACCGCCTCACATTGCCTTCTCCACGTATCTCTCTTCGATTTTCTCAGGACTTTGTTATACTCAGTTAAGGACCTTCTGTATTGGACCCATGAACCTGATTTCCTTGCACGTTTAAAGGCTTTTCTAGTTTTTTGTCTCATCCTCGCCAGATCAGATCAGTTTGTTTTCCGGGGATTTTGATATGTTAGTATCGAGTCCCTGAATCCCTCCGATTTCAAAGTTTATGTGTCGATGGTCTGAACAACTTTCCTCATCAGACACATTCCATTTCCGAACATAGTTACTCACAAATGTAGTTCCTATCGTTACATCTATCACTTCACTCGCATTTACGAAAGTTATGTTCCTAACCAGAAAAATATACACACCTCAGCAACCTTTGATGCTCTATAAAGCTCAGATCAGATCTTCTTTGGAGTATTGTTCTCATGTATGGGGCTCTGCCCCCAAAGATACCCTGAAGTTGCTGAATTCCATCCAAGATAAGAGCCATCTGCCTGAATGAAGACGCGAACACCACGTGCAACCTTGATAGCCTGGAACATCGAAACAAGGTAGAGATTCTATCTATATCTATAGATATATTCACGGGAGGTGTTCAAGTAACTTGTCACATTTGATTCTACCAAGAGCGGTACATATCAAAAATACGCGACAGATTTTGGCTGCTCAACGTTTTGAGGTACACCTCGAACTTCA